GAAAAATCAACGCCGACCATTGGGTTCCGTCCCGTTTTTCCTTCCTTTTCCCAACTTATTTTCATTTTTCAATTAAGAACTCGAGTAGTACTTTTGGCTGCGATTCAACTATAAAGAGTGGCTAATTTCTTCATCTAGTCAGAGGTTAAATCGAAGCTTTGGTTCGACAAAACTGTGAGATCGAATTGATTTGCCTACGTTCTTTAATTTGCAAATATTTATATATTTCCTGTTCACTTATGCATATGACTATTTCTTGCAATTAAATACTTGATCACTGTTTAATTGTGTGAGTAATTAACAGCCATCTAAGAGTGCTCAATCCGTAATTGTTGGGTAATTTTAGTGCATGTGGCAAGTGACATGATTCAATTGTAGTAGGAACTTTTGAGTTGTTGTTGCGGAAATATATGATATAGCCTAAATAAACCTAGCATGTGTGTTTGTTGGTTATAATTGGTGGCCAGTCTAATGATTAATGCTGTCAATAGGTTAAATCCTAAGAGCGTGTTTAGAACTGCTTAATTGGTTAGGGCAATAACTACAGAGTTAGTTGTGGTTATCGAATCAGGAAGGTTAGGCAGGTTGTCAGAGTTTGTTGACAACCATAACCAGTTTATTTGTAAATGAAAGATTTTATCTCTGCATCTGTGATCAGTGATTCGAACCATTAGTAGAAATTATACCTTTGACTAGAGATTTTCCTTCCATTAATTTACTTTATATTTATTGTTATTTATTTTTTCTGCGATTGTCTTATTTTTTATTTGAGCAATTAAATTAGACAGTTCCATATCAATCCCCCCATTTTTTTTTAATGTTACATTCATTCAAAATAAATTCCCAAGTCCCTGTGGATTCGACCCTGCTCACTGCTATATTCGAATTTTATCTTTCACGTAATTAAGATACTTTGGTATATCGGATCAAGCAAACTCTGGCATCAGGGTGAAGCTAGTAACCCATTGCACAGCCTAAGTCCCTGCTCCAGTACCATAGTGGATTTAATTCGTGACTTAAGAGTAGGAATTTTATTTTTGCTGGTTTGACACCCACGAGAAAGGAAGTGCTGATCGCCAATTTATTAGGATGAAATGGGAGAGAAGAAAGTTTTAGATCCAACCACAGTGTCATGGATGGAGGATGCACATGTAAAAGTCAAAGACTTCAAACAGCTCAAAGTCGGCAAAAGATCTATGCGGACAACCGAAGGAAGGATTTGGAGTTCGAAATTGAAGACCTTGTATTTCTCAAGATCATACCGTTGCGAAGTGTCACGGCGGGTAGAGGAAAGAAACTTCAATCAAGATTTGTAGGAACCTTCAAAATTCTTCAACGAGTTAGGAAGGTGGCTTACCAACTCGAACTACCATCAAACTTGTCCAGAATTCATGATGTCTTCCATGTCTCGTTGCTCAAGAAATACCATTCTGATCCGACTCATATCCTACAATCAGAGAAAATTGAGATAGATGAGTCACTCACCTATGAGGAGAGACCTGTGCAGTTACTCGACTGAAAGGTTAGGGAACTGAGAAACAAGTAAATTCCATTAGTGAAAATCTTGTGAAAAAATCACGGAGCAGAAGAGACAACTTGGGAAGCGGAAGAAGATATGCAAAGGAAATAACCTGAGCTGTTCGTTAATCAAGGTGAGAAATTTCGAGGACGAAATTCTTTTAAGGGGGAGAAAGTGTGAGAACCCAAAAATTTTCTTATTTTCTAGTTATTATTTTATTTCCTTGCATACCTTTTTTATACTTTCCTTTAGTATATTAATTTTCTAGACATTTTATAAGGGAGTCAAGTTTTAAAATCATTTTCCTAGTATAAGTTAGTTCATGTGACATTAATAGTGTATATTGGACGTGGGACCCACTAGTGCGTTAAGTGCGATAAATTTGATGACTGAGTGAAGTTTTGCATAAAGGGATATTATTGTATAAGGTGCTAGAAGATAATTAGAGGTTAACTAGATTAATTAGTTTTGGAAGACAAATGGATGAGAATAAATTTAAGAAAGCCAAGTGTCATGAAACTAACGGAGGTTGGACTTTGACCTAACTTTCTTTCACCTTTACTAAATCAAAAATTGACCAAATTTCCCTCATATTTCTTCCATCTTGGCCGGCCACCTTGAGAGGAAAAACAAGAGAGAAAGCTTTATTGTTTAACTACCAAGTTTGCTTGAATCTTGAGTTTTAGCCAACAACTTTGTAAACCGCTCCATACAAGTGTTAATTAAGGAAGATTAAGGTGTTGGTGGAGCTACTTTAGAGGAGAAAGAGCTAAGCTTCCATCTTTCTTGAGGTTACAAGGTACCTTGGCAAGAAACTTCCATTTTCTTTCATATATGTGGCTTAAGGTTGTAGTTTTAGTGATTTTATGAGAAGATTGCTTGGTTTGAAGTAGTGTTATGGTAAATTTCAGTTTTATGGTAAAAAATTCTGCTCATATGTGATGTTTGGGGGTTGTTCATGTTTTGATGGCTTTGCTATATGAATTATTGAGCTTTTATGTGCTAGTTTCCTTTGCCTAAAGAAATTTCCACCTTGGGTATCTAAATTTCAGATTAGGATTTCTAAATTTGACTTGATTGTGATTGGGTTTTGGAGCTATCAATTGGCTATAATTGAAGAGTGTTGTGACCCTAATTAAGTGTGTTGACTAGTTTGTGATTTGTATGTGCAATTGTGGCTGATTTGAGATGAGATTGGTGGTTAATTTGTAGGATGGAAAAGTAAGGAATTTAAGGGGAAGTGTTGTCCAAATTTTGAGTCCATTTAGCTTCTTTTAAGTTGGGTTGATTTTGGGTAGAAATGATGGGCTTTGGGGTGGTACATGTCTTTAGGGCCAACTGTTACCTTTTCACTCCAAAGTCGCCTTTTTGCTTTGCATTAGTAGTTCATCTAGGTAGGTACGACTTGTAATTGAGTCTCAATTATTTTTTCTTGATTGTTTTAGGGCATGCTGGTGATCAAGGGCATACTTCGGGAGGAAACTCGTGAAATTATTTTGCTTGACTAGTGAGTGTACCATTCACATGGTTGTTGCTTCGTTGATTTACTTGTACTTGAAAATTTGTGACTTGAATGACTGTGGTTTCTACTTATTCTGGATGAGACGAGGGTGTACTTTATCACACACACTCTCTTACTTATTTAACTGCTTACTGTATAAACTGGAATCTGTTAATTGTACCTGATATGATGTCGTTTGAAAACTTGTATCTAACGACCTTCTCGTGCCTGTGAAATCTGAGCTCAACCCCATGGGTAGTTAATTGAATCGAGCCAACAAGGGCTTGATCGAGGAAATTGACAATCCATGGGAACTGTTTCTGGGGAATCTTTGGATATTGGAGGCTCTGAATTTTCGGTATACTCGAGTATTACCACCTCTATTTCTGTTTTGGTGTTCGGACCCGATAAGGGATATGTTTGGTGGACGAAATTTGATGTAAAATGGGGTCTACGGTCACGTTTGTTCTTTAAACGTTAACAAAGTGTCAACGAGTTTGGATCAAATAACGCAAAAGAGGGCGGGCTCTTGAGAGCCATTTGTATCCTTTCACTACATGTTTATCTGTGGTGTTCACTCCTCTTTATTTGTTGGCTATATTTGATTGAGTACAATGGTGTTTTAGTGATTCTTAAATACTTGGCTTGTTGGTACCTCATTGGGCGAAAGCTCACCCCTGTTGCCTTTGTTTTTCTTACAGGGAATAATATGTTGGAAATCATGATTTTTGGGAAGAAAGAGTCGAACTAGTATAGATATTTTTTTGTTATGCTCCTCTGTGATAGAAACCCTACTTGTATTTTGAGCCAATACAACCTTTTGGCTTGTAATGACTCCAATGTATATATTTATGCAAGCGTATGATTTCATATATTAGTTGAGAAGGAAAGTTTCTATGGTTAGATGAACTTATTTCATATTTGTTGGACAAACCGGGCGAGTACGAAACTTGAACGAGGAAGAAAAGAGTTTTGGCGGGAATCCATTGCGGGGAAATCCAGCCATATATCCGGCCAGATACATGGCCGGATTAAAATTTTTGGTTTGCCTTCTGCCTCGAATCCGGCCAGAAATCCGGCCGACAATCCAGCCAAGTTTTGGCCGGATTCTGGTGTGGGCGCGATACTTTTCTTTTTCGTTGGCAAGTTTAAACGAAACTGTATGGCATCATATGGTTTGATTATTATGCTTTCGACTTAGTAGTCCTGGCGAAAGTTAGACAGACAGTCCGCTAACCCTTCGGGTACGCCCTAGGGGAAAGTGGGGCTGTCACATCATCAAATTATATGTTCAATTTTTTGGAAGTTAAATGATTAGCCCAATAAAAAATAAATAACTTTTTTTTGAAGAAAAAATTAAATCTAAGGTGGCTAATTCATATTTATGTATAAACTCTCATAATATAAACTAAAATTGTAAAAAATTAGTTGAGGCCACTTTATTTTACACATATATTTATACATTATGAATTAAAATTTTCAAAATTTAAGGGGAGACATGGCTCCCTCAGCCCCTTGGCTTCGTTATTGATTGCATATATGGTTCGTACTTGTCAAGATTCTCATTCTAAATAACAAGTAAACAACTTAGGAGACAATAAGGCAATAAGAAAACAATCACTATAAGAACAAAATATGGAAGTGTATTACATGGGAATTTTTTTTCCGCAAAAAAAGTACTGTGGCAAAAAGTCGTAGTATATATTGCGTGGCTTATAATTTATATGTTAGGGACTATTCTGATTGATTTTAAATATTATGAACTAAAAATATTTTTTTTAAAAAAATATTAGGGACCAATTTGACAAATTTTCCACCACAAATTGTTCCACATTTTTTTTTCCGTTTCCTAGAAAAGTTTAGGTGGTTTCTGATTTTTGCCGTTTCGACAGTCAGGGCATCTGATTTGGGACTAGTTGCGAATTTTTTGATATTTTATTAGCTGTTTATAGTACTGGTTTCCATTTTATACGTATAATCTTCCCATTTTATACGTATAATCATCAAAATCATTATCTTGGGATTGATGAGATTTTACAATATCATCTGTTAAGAAATCACGTAATCGGTTGCTACAAACAGGCTAATTCCAATCCCCCTCAAACCTTAGTTACTCTTCTCAAATTTCGCCATTCTCCATTTCCCGCAGAATTTCTTAACCCTAATTTCCAGTTTCTTCTTCACTCTCTCTCTCCCCACCAAAATCCAGTCACTCTCTCTATCTGCCCTTTGGTACTTGGAGGCTGCATCAGCAGTCAGCAGCATAACATATCTCAATATTTCTTCCGTTTTGCTCTCACAAATGCAGAAGGGCCCATATGGTCAAGTCGGGTCGGCGCTAGTTTCTTGTCAAAGATGAAATAACTGAAGAATCCGTAGAGCTTAGGCAGAGAGTCACTGCGGCAATGGTAAGAATCGAATATGGTTTCTTCTCTGTTTTCATCCGTTAATAATTAGCGTTTCCTAATTTATTATACTGTTTCTTTTTTCCTTTTTTTTTTGTTGATTTGGGTTTTGGAATATCCAGCTATAATTTTCTGGGATCCATGAGTTCTGAAGATTGAATGAATCCCCTAGCCTGCAGAAAATTTTCAGCTAAAATTTGTTCCAGCATCAGCTACTTGGGATTTGGGTGGTGGGGAGAGGGGAGGGTATAAAGCTGGTAATGGTTGTCGATTTGCTTAAAGCTTCGGCTACATTTCACAGTCACAATGGTGATACTTGTTTTCTCCGATTACTGGGTACATAATTTTTGAAACTGAAAAAAAAAAAAGCACTCAATTTTGTTCAATTGTTGGTATAGAAATGCTCCTTCTGGGATACGAAATTTTAAATGGATTTGTGATGCCTTTATAGTAATTGTTACGGACATTATCTACCAAAAAAGTGTAAAAAAAAGGACTGAATCTTTGTTATTACTGTCTCAAAAAGTTTTGATTGATATCTTTGCTTATTATATGCCATTAACTTCCTGTAAAGCTAAAATAGGGAATAAAAAAAGGTTGATCTTTACTTTGTCTTTATTGATATCTTTGCACAGCATGTTGCCATTAATTTCCCATGCAGCATTCCAAAAACTTTGATTGTTGTTTCCAAACTTATGCACATCAAATACTGATAGAACAATATAATTTTTGTCTTTTGATTGTGGTGCATTAAAGTCTATACTAGCTTCAGTTTTCAGTCGTGGCAAAACTAATGCTATCCTTGTATCGACCAATTTACCGTTTTGAATTCATTTGTGGATCAGCTATTGGAATTTGAAAATTTAGAATATATTTGATATACAATAAAGAAGTTCAATGTCCTGTTCTGCAAGTTTGAACTTCCTGAACTTTGGTTATCAATATACAGCTTTGAAAAAGAGAAAAAAAAAAAAGAATTGTTCAGCAGTGTCTCATCCTTTTATGTGTACAGAGACGTACATTATTCCATTAAGGCCTTAACTATATCGTGCATCTTATATAAACAGTTTGCAATGGAGACTTGTTCAATTGAGACATTAGTTATGCTAGTTTTAATTCTCCCCCAGTTATCATTTTATCTTTTAGTTTTACTGAGTGTTAATGAATATTTGCAGTAGAGCGTTGACTTCAGTGTTTTGTGGTCCAGATGGCTAAGGGGGTTGATCATATGCTCAAAAGGTATAACCTCCGTCCTCGTCCTACTCGCAAGAAAGTGGAATATATTGTATCTTATTGCTTCTCAAAATCTAAGAGGCATACCTTATATCCTCACGCCAATGATCAGAAGATACGGCGGAGACCTTCTATACCTTATCTTCCACCAGAAATTATCTTCAATATTCTTGTCTACCTTCCTGCAGACATACTTTACAATGTGATGAGGTATGTTTGTCGAGAGTGGTACAACATCATCTCTAGTCCTACATTCATTGATGCACACCTCCTAAAGGTGGACAGGGGCATGCTTATCATGCAAATTTATCCAGATTGCAATATACATTATGTCGAAATGGTGAAGAATGATCTTCCTGAGATCATTGAGGTAGACTCTTCTCATTTGCCAACATTTGGTATGAGCAGTTGTAATGGTTTGGTCTTGATGGCTAAAAGTCAAGGTGGAAATCGCTATGTTGCAAATTTAGTTACAAAGGAAGTTGTAACCCTCCCTCCTCCTTCAGCTGCAGCCAGTGCAAATCCAAGTTTTTCGGGTATGGGATATACTTGTTCAAAGAAATATAAACTGGTTGAGTTCTACTTTAATGATCAGAGGAAATTAGAAGGTGGGATACTAACGATTGGTGTTGATAGAGAATGGAGGTGCCTTTGCCGACAGAATGAGACTAGGGAAATTGACAAATTTGGATTCTTTAACTTGTTTTACAACAAGCCAATTGCTAGTGCAGAAGGAATTTTGCATTGGACACATTATAAGTTTCCTTTGGTTCTTAATTTAGATCTTGAAACTGAGACTTTTTACACGCGTGCCACCCCAAAATGTCCCGAGAGGAAAAGGAGGACTTATATGGGAACTGGGCAGTCATTTTGTTTCATGGATTACTTGGGGAAGTTTTCATGGGAGCTCTGGTTGCTAAAAGATGCAGAAGCTGGTGAATGGACTAAGTTGGCCATTATTGATCTAGGACCTCAGGAGCAAATGCTTCGGCACACTTTATGTCCGGCAGGATTTCAAATTGTGCCTGTTGGTTTTTTGAAAGATGGGGAAATTGCAGTCCTCTATGTAGCACATGAAGATGGGATTCAACATGAAAGGTGCTACCATCATAAGTCACATCCATCAAGAAATTGCATTACGTATAATATGAAGACAGGAGTGATCAACTCATTTCACTTGGATAAGGGTAAGACTTGTGAAATGAATGAGAGTTGGAGGTATATTCCGCATGTCAAGAGCTTGGTTTCTCTAAAATTTTCAGCTAATTAGTTGCTTCTTTTTATGTTCGCAAAAAAAGGGGAAATTAGTATGAGATGGAGAAAGAGGGATAGAAGATTGCTTGGAATTAAAATAGGATGATTGTTGTGAGATGAGTCTTTCTTTCCTCCTTAATTTATTAATGTCGTGATCATGACGGATATGATCCATTTCGCTGTAATTTTTGGTTTCACTCTTGCATTATTTTCTGAGCGCAGGAGTATTTGATATCTTCTGTTGGTATTTATAACTTTCTATTACTTATCAAAGTAGTTGCTACGTTTGGAAAATCTTGCTTTACTGCCACAAAAGTTCTGATTTTCAATGTCATTGCCTTCATTTATTCACTATAAAAATTCTCTCTTTCTTGGGTGGCTCGCTTTTCCATGATGATCGTATATAGTTTGACATATGTACTGTTCAGTTCACCCAGCCATCGGATGTTCTCTGAAGAATCTTTTCAAGGGAATCATTTAAAGGCTATAGGTCCATAATTGATAAGTTTTTCTTACTAGTGAAGCCCTAAGAATATGATTTATAATTTTTGGAATCATAATAGAAGAACAAAAACCTGAACTGCCGAAGAAAATCAATCTGAAAAACCACATATCCATTCCACAATTTGTAGCACCAGCAAATGTAAAGCAAATGGTATCCATTCCACAAGTTACATTCTGCAAGTGCGCGTTATGTCTTCTGCTTGAATTGGAAAGGTATCCATTCGTAAGCGTTGTTAATGAACATTATATAGCGTGATGAGATGATGAGATATTTGCAATTAACTTTTTATCTTCTCAACTATATTTTTATTTAATATACATTATATCGCAAAAAGTCTTATAATAATTATTCCGAATAATCTCCAATCTGGGTACAAGGTTTCCTAACACCAGTTTGAGCTTTGACCTAATCATCATTACTATATAGAAAGTATGAATCTTAGTGTTAGGGAGTGTAAGTACTTTTTTTGTCTTAGTTTTTGTTATTCCTGAATTACCCTCATGTCTTTTATTTAGAATTATTACATTTCAATGTGGCACTAATTAAAAGAGATAAAACACTCCAATTGATTACATCTCAATAGTATTGGTAATTATAATTAAAAATTGCTCATTACAAACTATTTACCTAACCTTGATCTCCATCTCCAATTATTACAAGTATCAAAGTTTTTTAATTGAGGCTTAAAAATTTTCTCATTAGTCATTATCTGAGATTGTAAAAAAAAAAAATCAATGTCAAAAAATCGATATTTTTAGAAAAAAGAGAAAAATACAAGTAGAAGAGATCCCTTATTCATTTGTATATTTCCATACAAATATCGTGAGCAAATTTCACAATTATGCACATTTTACCAATATAAAGAAATGATTAAAAAAAAGTAAAATATAAAACCCAACTATTTCAATCAAATGAATTTTAACTAAAATTTAAATAACCAATCTAAAATGATTGAGCAATATGAATAATTTACATTCTCTATTAATAACAAAAAATGCTTAGATAAAATATAAAGAAATGAAAAAAAAAGTAAAATATAAAACCCAACTTTTTCAATCAAATGAATTTTAACTAAAAATTAAATAACCAATCTAAAATGATTGAGCAATATGAATAATTTAATCGAGCAGGTGGTATCAGAGCCAGGTTCGCGTGCAAAATTGTATTAATTAGTTGGATTCGTATTCACTTAGGTTTTATTTAATAATTCAATTCAGCACTAAAAGTTAATGGGTTTAGATTTTAATGTGTTTAAATGCGTTTGATAACAAAAATAGAACATTGAATTAATCAAGTGGTAAGAATTTTTTTGGTAAAATTTGCTCTAAAAAAATAAATGATAAACTATTCACTTGTCATTTAACATGATATATATTTAAATGTATCATATTTAGTATTAATAGTTCAGTAATTTAATGAATTAAGATTTCAAATCACAAATTTCAGAATTTAGTTTTTATACTTCAATTTTATTAAACGCACCACTATTCTCATACGGTAAATGTTCTTTTGTCCAATTTATTGTGAACTAGAAATTTTAGTACACTTCTATCTCTCAATCTTGGAAATTTCAAAAGGGCAGAAGAGGTGTGTCATATGGTCTTGTTTGATGACGCAATTCTGCACTTAAACTTAAAAGATTCAGATTTTAATATATTCAGATGCGTTTGATAATCAAAAATTGAATATTTGAATTAATTAAGTGAAATTAAATTTCCTAGGCAAAACTTGCTCCCAAAAAGAAGTGATAAGTTATTCACTTATTATTGAATGTGATATATGCTTAAATGTATTTGATTTAACATTTAACAATTTAATAACTTAATGGATTCAGATCAAACACAAAATCTGGGAGAACTTTCTGATTGTCACTAGTATCTGCCTGCTATTAAAGTTTTTCTATTTTTTAATCTTATGTATAGTCTAGTGTCAAGGTGCCTCTTGCCATTTTCAGCTATAAATCCTTGATATCGCTTCTTAGATATTATTAAATGGTTGCTATGCCTTAACGAACTGTATATTGGGTTCATCCTTTGCTTCCCTTAAACCTTATAATATAATGCTTAAGGTTGAGACCTGATTAATTTGCATGAGGTTAATTTGGCACCACTGCTCAACTGTAGAATTGACCTATAACAATCTTGAGTACAATGCTGGCAATGATTTTCCAAGAGATAACTTTTTTGATCTATTACTACCCATAGATTGTCCTATTTATGAAGTTTATACCAAAATTAAAATAAGGATGAAAAGTAAAATTGAAAATATGTAATGTCATAAGTACAATAAATGCAAAAGTTAGCCATCACTTAGCACTGTCCCCGTTTCAACAAAATAAAGGAAAAATAATAATATGTGCAATTTCTAGATATTTTAGCATGAGATTATTTTAAGATCAATCTTTTGAGTTCTAGCTGTATTTTTTTTTTGGGTAGAATTATGCATATCATTTATCCACAGAAAAAGCGCATACAAGATTAATCTTTTGAATTGTTTTTTTGGTAGAATTATCCATACCATTTATCCATGGAAAAAGCGCATACGACAGGGAATGCTGCAAAGGAAAACGCTACATTCACTAGGGAAAATATCCCCACAGCAATTCCACAGTGACAACCAGTCACCACCAGCAATGGCTGCCATAGAAGACTTAAATCTTCAATAGAGTGGCAAGTTAAGAGTTCAAATTTTATTTTCTATAATTCTGTCATTACATATGGATTTTCCAAATTTATATCAGTCCCTTAGAGCAGGCTACTGTCGGTTTCACAATGATCTAGTTGGACCCCCTCATGGTAGGTTAGAATACGAGTAGATAGTATCAATTGATCAAAAAAAAAATTCACAATGACAAGCAACTATACTATTTTTAATAATACTAAACAATAGTGTTCTACCCCTGTATGTTAGATATAATTTCTCTCTTTAGCGCAAATTTAATGAAATTATGATACTTGTTAAAAAAGTTACATCCCTAGATAAATATATTAAAGCCCGTTTACGATTGCGATGCGTTTAAAAAAAATGCTTTTAAATACTAAAAGTACTTTTGACGTGTTCGATAACTATTTATCATAACTTAAGGAGTTCAGAATTTTATAACTTAAAAGCACTTTTATTGAAATTACTTGTATCAAATGTGCTTCTTTATAACTCAACGCAACCCCAAACTGGACTCAAATCAATGATGTGTTTACTCTGAACAACCGGCATGGATACAGTAAGCGGAGAGAATAGAATTTTTCCTAACCCTATATATATCATAGGGGAGTCGCCTATTATGTGTAGCTTATAGAGTTTTTTTGCCACAAAACCTTTCTATTAGAAAATAATCCCAACCTAATTCATTTGCAAATCTTATTCCCTTTCTGATATCTATAGCCACAGACTCCAAATCACTGAAACACAAATCATGCTTGATTTATCTTTGGATCTTACCGTTTTCTTTGTTCCTGTTTTCCATTATTCTCATTTTCTATCTCTATTATGTGGTCCTCTCTTCTTTTTCATTCTTTTCTTTCTTCTTTTCAAGTCACACAACTCCCGCCTAGTGTTCATACCCAACCAACCAAGTTTCACATAAAATTTATCCTTGGTAAATTGTTACTAGTTCTAATTCGGTACTTGTATATGAAACATCAAAAGTAATTAAGGTTATTCAGTAATAGTATAATAATTTAAATGATATCAAAATTAGTTTATAACATGCACACATGTATCCCATTGATCAATTTACTAAATTCAATACGTTTAGGATGCAATTGCTTATGATGATACTTGATTTTATTATTATCATTCACCTATTCGTACTAGTTTCCTTTTTCCCTTTTGTTCATTGGATATTTTTCCCTTCCAATTACAATCATTTTATTTTTTGAGCAACACATAGTAGAAAATTTAATTACTCTTTCATAGAACTAAATTCCTCTATGATTGAATCAATCCTAAATTTTTCAATAACTTACTTTTCTATGTACATGGTTAGACAATCATTCCAGAAATTATTTTCCATCTTGTTTTGGAGCTTTATCTTCATAATTGAAAATGTATGTTCTGTAATTACAGTTGATACAGAAAGAGTGAAAACAAGTCTAATCAATCTATCAACAAGAGAATAGATCACCGATTTTCTTGTCTTCACCGACCCTTGAAGTAATTATTTGTATATGGGTCAACAAAAGAATAGATAACTGATTCTAAATCTTTTATTAATTGAGCTAAGTTGTATATTTGTATATGGGCCAATAAAGTGATTATTTTTGTTTTAACCCATTGATAATTAAGACTTGGGTTTTTTTTATTATAATATATCAAATTGGATCAATTTACTATGGATCATCAAATTATTTATTTAATTTTTTGAAAATTAAATGATTAGCACAATAAAAAATAAATAATATTTTTTTGAAGAAAAAATTATTTCAAAGGTGGCTAATTTATATTTATATATAAAATTTCATAATATAAACTAAAATTGTAAAAAATTAGCCAAGACCAACTTTATTTTACATATATATATTTACACACTATAAATTAAGGCATTGCTCCTCAGCCCGTTGGCTCCATCATTGATTGCATATACGGTTCATACCTGTCAAAATTCTCATTCTAAATAACAAGTAAACAGCCTAGGAATTAGGATGGCATACACTTTGAAATTGAAACGCTTCAAAGATTTTGTTTATATTGAATGCAAATTTCTCCCCTGATGAGCAGGCCTTTTTCTTATTTTTTATCATGGCAAATAGGAGATAACAAGGCAATAAGAAAAAAATCACTATAAGAACAA